CTTTTTCTCGCCACAACAATTCCATGTTTTTATCAAACAGTCTGGATAATCCCGAAGTGAAGGCAAACACGTACAGGGCAAGAGGAATGAGCAGCTTATAGCTTGAGACAGTGGGACCGGTCTGTGACTGTGCATCGTTTACAGTTCTGTTTGGTAAAACATAATACTACACCAGGATTTAGCAGCCTTGATGAACTAATTTAGTTCTACTTCCATTTTTTCTTCGGCCATGTTATTTCTGTTTAATTAGTTTCCGAATTGGGATCAATTTTTGTAAAGCATTGCTTTATTCATTTTGGCATCTCAGTTGTGAGATTGGGATCGAAGATTACTAGTTCTGCTTTTTTCCCATGTTAGGATGCTTCTTTGAATCCAAACGCGTAAAATATCTGTGCCAGAATTTCTAGAGTATTGCTTGATGAATAATGTATATCATATCGTAGGGGTAAGCTGGGTTGTTGGTGCTAGAAAAAAGATTTGGATGGCGTCAAATCACATTATAATATGTGATTATCACATCTAACACTGAAACTTACCATGTATTTTGTTTGAACCTTTTTAAAGTTATCACGAGTTTTTCTCTCTGGAATCTTCAGAGTCGCGCAGCTGCAAATTCGCTTCTCGCGCATTAGAATTTTTTTTCTTCACAAATTATATTTTTGATTAAATCATAATCAATGCTTTGCAGCTGAAAGCGCAAAATTGGAAGACATGGTTCGGGAACTTTCATCAGCCTTAACAACTGTCAAGCACGAACAAGAATACATGGAAATTCGAGAACGTGTCCATAGGCTAAGTTGGTTTTTCCCTTAAAATTGTAACGCATAGTTTATTCAGTGCAGTGAGTTTATTTCGTGCAGATTTTTTAAAGAAAAAAAAACTTTCAACAACAAAAATTAAACGAAATTATGGTTGTTGTGAGTACTAACTGGAGGTATGCAGCACAGAATTGAAGGGAATGGCACAGTTGTACTTGGCATGTGGGAGCATATCAGTAACACCTTATTAGTAAGGGATATCCACACTGGTAGCCCGAGCGGTCTTGGTATTCTTGGTATGATTGTTGTGCCGCTTTTAAACATTTCGTGATAGGGGGGGTTTTTTTATATGCCCATTTATTTTAGAAAGTGCATGATTAGACAACTTCTAGTAATGTACTTTCTAACGCAGTTGTTACCATTTGCATAAAATAAACGAGATGGATTAAAAAGATAGCAAGCTTACATGTGTTAGAAGGCGAACAGTGTGATCGAATCATCATGTATAGAGATTTCCTGAAGTCATGGAATAGTTAATTCAAGAGATTCCAGAACTAAAGAGCGATCTTTTTTGTGATATAGTCGCACTAAAAACAAGTATTTAGGTGAAAAAATCACGTTCGTGCCAGTTTATTTGTGGCTTTATTTAACTTCCATCAGTAGAATCTTTCACAAACTTCTTCACTAATTATTTAACCTGTGCTGCATTGGCCCCAGCTAAACTTTCAACTAGATACAGTGTGCAGTTTCGCGAAACGTTTGACAATCTTTAACATATTAGCTATAAAAAAGTGATTTTTTTTTTGAAAAAAATACTTCAGGTTTTGTTTACAAGATCAGTTTTTTTGCAGTAAATGAAAGTACCAATTCGCGGGTGGTACTTTGGGCGATCTTTGAAGCAGTGGTACTTGTGGCAATGAGTTTTGGTCAGATATATTACTTGCAACGATTTTTCGAAGTGCGACGGGTTGTATAAAAGTTTGGAAGTGCTTTACTCGTGCTGTATTGTATTTCCTTTCACTTCCTCAGAATGGCTTCGCGGTTATTTATTGTGTTTCTCGTGTACTGGCATAACTCTGCTTTGTTTTTCATTATTCAAAAATTTACCCTTACACAGACCAGTGACCATAGTGCCTTGATTGTCAGTGAAAGTTCCATCTACCATACATTTCTGGCTTCGTTTTTTGGGGCCTCTTCCTGCGGCTGTGCCATCTTGGGTTCTTTCCATGCATTACTTTTTCCACATTTACTGCCTTTTTATGGCCAAAATCTCCACTCATAATGAACGGTTACAAGCTTTGGTTTTTCTTTTTTTTTCTGCGTAAGGTGTAACAAATAAGCTAGAAAAGCTGTTGCTTGCCCTGTGCAGCTATTTTGGCCAGTCTCCGTAATCTCCATTTTTACAGGTTTTGAGTGCTAAGACTTCATTCTCTGCCCCAGAGGTGACCCTGAAATCTAATTCGCAACCCGTAGTGTTAAGCGTTACCTTTAACTGTGCTATTGCTGCTGTTCAGTTATTTTCTTTAACTTATATATGTGGTATTAAGTCTAGCAGCCAAACAAATACTACTGGTCCAGAAGTTTTTTTCTGTTATTGATTTTTATTATAGGTAAATTCCAGAATTTTCCTGGAATTGTTATTGGTATGGTTTGTTTTTCTGTCGATGGCAGTCCACTGTTAATACGGTGCAACAGATTTTAACAACTATTCTTACGTAAAAATCATTTTTTTGAAGGAAAAAAATACAAACAACTTCACATGATTTTAATACAAACCTTGGCACTGCCAAAAACAATAGAAGTCCAAAATGTTTAGGAAGGTATCTGGGTTTTAAAATTTCGAAATTTCTCATGCATGCTGAAATTACACGAAAAAGT